TAGGAACCAGCGGTCGCCATGACAACGACAGAGACATTTTATTTACTATTCAAAACCACCAGTGAACCTACATGTGTCTTCTAAGCTTTATATGGAATGTTGATGATGGTAAAATAGTGGAAAATTTGAAAAGTTTTCTTTTGGGGATTTATTTCATGCAAGTTTTGGCTCAAAAAAAAATTCAAATTTAATAAATCTTTTTACAGTTGCCAATTGTTGCACTAGTATTGACATTTCATTTACAGATGCTTCATGAGTCTCATGCTTCTTACATGGACCGCCAGGTGTACTGATGAAGTAAGAACCCGTGGTCTGTTTAAACTGAGGGGCTGACAGCTTATGTTCTTAACTAGAACTAGGCTGGTCAGCTAGCTAACAGGCTAAAAGAGCCAACAGCCTAAACAGCTCCATCATTAATATCACAGGCTTGAATTAAAGCACTTACAGTGTGATTAACTGTAAAACTGCAGTATAAAAGTCTAAAAATGTCACTTGAATGTTTTACACACTTCAAATGTTCGTGTTTCAGTCAGAAGTCAAACCCAGGCTGAATCCCAAACGGCTTCGTAATCCCTAAATAGTGTTCTAGCTATGAACATTTAGAAATTCTAGCCTCTACAGCCAAACAGTGCATCATTTATCGAGTGTGGATGATGTCTTAGCTGTATTTCGCTCTGTTGGGCTGCAGGATCCAGTATTTAAATCCCAGTGTAGTGCACTATGTATGTATGAGCATGGAGACATTTGAGATTCAGCCCCAGCGTGAGAAGAGGGGCTCTGCTGGATTGGAGCTAAATAAGACTTGCGGTGGTAATTTAGTGACCACAAAGTACTTATAAACAGTGCTGTGTTATCATATGTTCATTATTATACAAGAAAAAGTAAAAGAAAAATCATAAAATGACCACAATATACAGCGATGGGCGACAGAATGTTTGCCTCATTCAGTGGTCCATGGCTGCTTGGCAATGACACCATAGTCTAAAGGAACTACATTTCTTGGCGAAATACTTGTTTATGTCGATTATTATTAATAATAACTCAAATAATTTTCTGATAAACTGTGTATTTTATCATATTTTATGTTGGTTGCCATTTTATGAAAGCAATAAGCCACTTGAGGCTGTGTGTTACTGCGATTTTATCACAGGAAGGGCGTTATTCTCTGATAAAATCGCAGTAACGCATGGCTAAAGTTAAATTACATTTTAATTATCATTCTGACACCATTGTTGCATCATCATGCAAGGCATAAATATGCAGTCCTGGAAATACTTTTTACTTTAAATAAAGCTACATATAAAGCATACAAATCTCTGTGTAAATGAAATGTCAGTACTAATGCACAAAATAGCAAATATAAATGGATTTATTTAAATTTGAATTTTTATTTTGAGCTCAAACTTTGCAAGTTCAAATTTAGGATTACGTTGCCATTTTGCATATTACGTTTTTAATTTTAATTTTGATACTGATATGCTTCCGTATTCACGTGCCTCTCTGCCGTGACTGGGTTTAAAAAATACGATTTGGCCAAAAACTAATCACAGAACTCTCATAAAACAATGTCTCAGGCATCAGGCAGCGTATAATAACTTTCTGTGAGGGAGAATTTTAGAGGTGGGTGTCTAGAGATTTTCGATCAGTCTGGGAGAAAATAAATAGAGCATTTAGTCTGAGCTCCACTTATTTTAAGCTGAACTTGTCCTCCTGACTCAGTCTTTACAGTCAGAGTGACTGCAGCGACTGTCTGACTCTCTCTGCTCCAGACTGGACTCTCAGTTACAGCAGCGTCCATCTCTGCTCACCACACCTCACTACTGCTTTTGGATAAATCCAAACACTCTCTCTCTCTCTCTCTCTCTCTCTCTCTCTCTCTCTCTCACTCCTTCTTCTCTCTCTCTTTCTCTCACTTCTTCCTCTCTCTCTTTCTCTCTCATTTCTTCCCCTCACTCACTTCTTCCTCTCTCTTTCTCTCTCTGCCCCTCATTCTCTCACCCTCTTTCTCTGTTTCTCATCTCTCTCTGCCTCTTTCTTCTCTCTCTCTCTGGCTCTCTTCTTCATTATCTCTCTCACTCTGTATCTCTCTCTCCTCTCTTTCTTCATTTCTCTCTCTCTCCCTCACTCTTTCTCCCCCCGCTCTCTTTCACTCTCTCTCTCCCTTATTCACTCACATCCTCTCTCTCTTTCTCTCTATCCCCTCTCTCTCTTCATTTCTCTCTCTCCCTCTCTCTCTTTCTCCTCACTCACTTTCTCTTTTCCACTCTCTCCCCCTCTCTCTCTCTTTCTCCCACTTCCTTCTCATACTTTCTCTCACTTCTTCCTCTCTCTTTCTTTTCTCTCTCTCTCCCTCTCTCTCTTTCTCTCTCACTTCTTCTTCTCTCTCTTCCTTTCTCTCTCTCTCTTCCTCACTCTCTCTCTATTCCTCTCTGTCTTTCTCTCTCTGTCATTTTCTCTCTCTTTTCTCCTTCTCTCCCTCTCTCTCTCCCTCCCTCCCTCTATCTCCCTCCCTTTCTTTCTCTCTATCTCTCTCTCTCTCTCTCTCTCTATCTATCTCTCTCTCTTTCTCTTTCTCTCTCTCTCTCTCTCTCTCCCTCTCTCTCTCTATCTCTCTCTCCCTCTCTCTCCCTCTCTCTCCCTCTTCCTCCTGTTTCTCCGTTATTATTTCTGTAGAAACTCTAAGCTGAAACGCTTGCTTGAATTCTAATACACTTGAGGACGTTTGCACTTCCTGACCATTGAAATGAAAAACAAATAAGAAAATGTAGAGATATAAATATACTTTTTTCATCAACTCATCAACAGAGCACCAAAGGCCCTTTTCTGAAATGATTTGTTCGAGCTTATTGCTCCTGTGAGAGTCTGAAGAAATGTCGACTTGCTGATGTTTTGAGAATTTCATTTTCACATCAGTTTTTTATGTAGAGGTCAGTAAATGAAAACAATAAGCCTTGAGAAGATTACAGCGTTACAGTGATTTTACCCCTGATTCAGAGTTTAACCCCCTTACCTGTGCTAAAATCACTGACGTATCGCATCTACTGGCTTATTGCTTATATAAACTAACACATGATACAATTAATAAACTTGTTATGCTTAAAAATAATGAATTCAAATGACTATATTTGTTTAATTTATAATAAATAACTCCTCTACCAAGAAATTTACTCCACTTAGGGATTATTGTTGCTGGAAAACCATGGATGGCTGAAGGAGAACATCAGTCACTCATCACTGTATACTGCTCTCACTTCATGAATGTTTTCATTTATTATCATATCATAATGATGATATCATAATATAGCAGGGTTTAATGCACAATCTTTTGCCTTAGAAGCAGCTTTTCTCACAAATTTACCACCTCAACCATAATGCTGGTTTCCACTAGCGCCTCAATATGATTCCTTGTATTGTGTTAGCATCAAGCTAACAATGCCACACATTTGTTTCCCAGACTGGGTTAAATTCTACCAAAAACATGGACATTTGAAACATGTAAAGCATTCAACTAATATATAGTCTTTACTTTGTATTTTACAGTTTTAGACTAAATCATGAAGTTAGTACTTTAAATGTCAGACACTGAATATTAATGGGGGGGGTTAGCCTGTTCGCTTTCTTTTAGCTTGCTTAGCCTGTTATCTGGGCTCGACTGGGACTTGTTTTCAGATCGGGAGCTACATTATGCCAACCAGCCAACCCCAAACTCCAGAGATACACACAGTGCCTTTGTGCAATATAACATTTTCATCTTTTTGTTTCAATATTTTTCTTCCAATTTTCTCCCCAATTTAGTCAATCCAATGCACCCATTATCACACGCTACCGCCAGCACTATGAAAGTAAACACAAGCTTCCTCCGAGTGATGTGGAGCAACACTGCGTCTTTTCAAACTGCCGCTGACACAATGTCACTGGACAGCTAAACATGCTTGGAGGAGAACACTAATCACCAGCTCTGTTACCTCAGCTAGCACCCTACCCACCCAGAGAGAGCGAGGCCAGTTGTGCTCATTGATTGTTATCATTGAAGATAAGATAGTAGAACACTTTATTAATTACCAATCTGAAATAATAATAATAATAATAATAATAATAATAATAATAATAATAATAATAATGATAAGTTCAGCTTATATAGTTCCTTTCTCAAACCCGAGGATGCTTTACAAAGAGATCAGAAAATAACAAAATACATAAACAACAATAAATTAAACAACACTGAAACACACACACACACACACACACACACACACACACACACACACACACACACTCCACAGTTCCAGAGTCAGTTAGCTAGCCCAAAAAGAGTCCTTAGCCGCACACAGTCACAAATTAGTGTTCCAGCATACAAGACAAACATAGAAACACCTAAGTAAGCTAAAAATAATAAAATAGAATAAGAACATCTATAGCATTAAATACTGTTTAGCCTAGTTGTTGAGAAAATGAGCTGTCAGCTCTTCAGTTTAAACTAATCTAAGTTCTTATTTCATCCGTTCTCTCAGCGGTCCACACCACCAAGCAGCAAAACAGCTCAAAGCTGAATGGTTTTTACTGAGTCAGCCCTTTAATAGTGAATTCAGTTGTTCAGTAGGGCTGAGTCGATCCCAAAAAGAGTCGATTCTCTGATTACAGGCATTTGTGAATCGAGAGTCGATTCCAAAGCTTTGACTTCAACTTCAACATTCAACTCAGAGACGTTCAGGTTGGCCCACACCTGCTTCGCTGCGTTTTGGTTCATTGGAATTGATTTTCTGAATCAGAATTGGGGTCGACTCCAACTCCAAAAGTTTTGGAATCAGACAGTCCTACCAATCAGACTCTCTGATTGTAATAAGAATTTAACAGTCCAGTGAGTAAGACGGAAGCGCAGCCTTTTCTGGGCAGTAATCCTCTATGGAGGATTAACTCATCTTGTTGTCATAGTAATGAGAGTCTGCTTCTCTGTGTGTGTGTGTGTGCGTGTGTGTGTGTGTGTGTGTGTGTGTTGACAGGATGTACAGAAGGACGTCTAACATGGCCGGGCTGACGTATCCTCCAGCTGTGATTCTAGCTCTGAAGGTATTCAGTGTGTTTCTTAAAGAGACAAGGGTTCATTTTAACTGAGTAAAATCAATCATTATGAATATATTTTTCTTTTGATCAATTAAATACATTTTATTTATTATACTTTTTATTTATGCTTTTTAATAAAACTTAATTGGAAGTACTACAAGGCAACAAAATCACTGATAAACAAGTCTTTTCATAGCAAGATAGCAAGTAGTCTGAAATGCTAATCTGGGATAAAGTGATAAAATACAAATATTTTCATGGATATTTAAATTTTATTTATGAATATCAAAAGCTCAGGATGTTTGATGATTAAAAGTTTTATTATTATTATTATTATTATTATTATTATTATCATTATTATTATTGTGTCTTTTCATTGGTTACAAGTATTATAAACATATGCAGTACCGTGAAAAGCTCTAGCCTGAGAAAATTATATTTAAAAAGTTATTTATTTGCCAGTAATTGTTTATTACCTTAGAAAAAACACTAATTAGAATAAATTAGAATAAATACAGATAACATCATTATCATAGGTAGTGATTTTAGGTATGACAGTGTTTATTTAACCATTTCCAGACGTCTCCTCGAAGAAGAGCAGTATTATTTGTAGTTTTAGTCCAAAACCTGCTTTATCTGATCAGTACTCTATTATATTCAATTAAGTGTGCTGGTGATGGAATATAATAAATCTGTGTGATGTCTGGAGGCGTCCAGGAGAAATTAGGAACTGGACAGTTTTCTTCAAACATGATATGAGGTGTTTTAAAACACAAACACACTTATCGGCGAGAAAAATGGTTTTAATACAAAGCTTGTTTCCTCGTGGAAGTGCATGGTTTCATAAAACTGATGAAAGTGTCAGTTATTTTATTTACTGTTTTAAATAATTTAATTATTGAATTATAGAACACTGTTCAGTATTAGTTGCAGGCCTGATGAAGCTCTTGTGTGTGTTTATGATGGTGATTATGGTTTCGTGTCTGAATGGTTTGCGTTGCTGTTGCAGGATGTTGATAAATGGTCTTTCGACGTGTTCACGCTCCACGAGGCCAGCAGTGAGCACGCTCTGAAGTTCCTGGTGTACGAGCTGCTCACCAGATACGACCTGATCAACCGCTTCAGGGTGAGTGAAGCACACACACACACACACACACACACACACACACACACACACCCACACAGACTCTTTAACTCTCACTGACCCTTCATACTTCTGACCATTTACTCTTATTAACCTCCCGTTACCCAGCATCCTACACACATACACTCCTTTATCTCTCTCTCTCTCTCTCTTTCTCTCTCTCTCTCTCTCTCTCTCTCTCTCTCAGTCACTCGGCCAAGGCCAAACCTCAGACACATGCTCTTTACCTCTACCTTTCTCTCTTTTCTCTCTTCTTCCCTCTTTCTCTCTCACTCCTTCTATCTCTCTTTCTCTTTCCCTTCCTTGTATATATCACTCTTTTTCTTTCTCTCCTACTCTCTCTCTCTCTCTTTTTTCTGTCTGTCCCACATTCTTTACTTTCTCTTTCTAGTTTCTCTCTCTTTCTTGTCTCTTTCTCTCTCTCCTCTTTTCTTTTTCTTCTTTTGTTGTCTCTTCACTTTTTCTCTCTTTCTCTCACTCCTTCTATCTCTCTCTCCTCTCCTTGTACCTATCACTCTCTTTCTCTTCTACTCTCTCTCTCTTTCTCTCTTTTCTCCGCCTCTCCCACATTCTCTACTTTCTTTTAGTTTCTCTCTTTCTTGTCTCTTTCTCTGTCTCTCCCTGTTTCTCTCTTTTTTCTTTTTCTTTCTCACTCCTATCTCTCTTTCTCTTCTACTCCCTCTCTTTTCTCTTTCTCTCCCACTTTCTTTACTTTCTCTTAGTTTCTCTCTCTTTCTTGTCTCTTTCTCTGTCTCTCCCTTTTTTTCTCATTTTTAATCTTTTTCTCTCACTCCTTCTATCTCTTTCTCTCTCCTCTCCTTGTATCTTTCATTCTCTTCCTTTCTCTCCTACTCTCTCTCTTTTTTCTCTATTTCTCCCACATTCTCTATTTTTCTTAGTTTCTCTCTCTCTTGTCTCTGTTCTCTCTTTTTCTCTCTTCCTCTCTCACTCATTTTATCTTTTCTCTTTCTCTCTCCTCTCCTTGTATCTACCACTCTCTTTCTTTCTCTCCTACTCTCTCTCTCGCTCTCTCTCTCAGATATTCAGATGTATTGCTTATCACTCTTTAAATGGAAATCACAATTTACATTACACACACTCAACATCAGCTCTGTTGAATTTTTCTTTCATTCATCCCATCGTCTCCCATCTCCTTTCCGAGCTCACTCTCACTCCAGCAGGCCCCACCAAGAGCCCAGAGATGTAAACATGACCAGGGGGGACTCAGGGCACCACTGTTTGGATTTAGGAGACAGGGTGTCACACAGTGTTCGCTGTTAGTGTGATTAAACATGAGTGTTAAGCCGGTCCACAGTGAGCGATCACACGTGACCCATCATTCACCTGAACAACAGACCCAGAATCTCTGGAAGACTCCAGACTACTTTATCCATTCTGTTCTAACATTAACACTGTTTAACATGTTCTCCTCCGTTCACACTGGTTCATCTGGCTCACAGCGTCTAATTGTGGAAAACCATAAAGCCAACTGGCAATTTTAGAATCATGGTGTTTAGTGGAGAATGACAGAGAGTGATGTTGCTTGGTGGAGATTGGTGGTGTTTGGTGAAGAATGACTGTTAGAAAGTGATGGTGTTTGGTGGAGAATGGTAGTGATTGTTGGGGAATGGTGGTGTTTGGTGGAGAATGGAAGTGTTTAGTGAAGAATGAGGGTGTTTGGTGGAGAAAGGTGGTGTTTGGTGGAGAATGATGGTGAATGTTGGGGAAGGAGGGTGTTTGGTGGAGAATGGTTGTGAATGTTGGGGAATTGTAGTGTTTAGTGAAGAATGACTGTGTTAGAGAATGATGGTGTTTCATGGAGAATGGTGGTGTTTGGTGGATAATGAATATGTTTGTTAGAGAATGGTGGTGTTTGGTGGAGAATTCCTATGTTTGGTAGAAAGTGATGGTGATGGGTGGAGAATGGTATCGTTTAATGAAGAATGACTGTGTTTGTTAGAGAATGATGGTGTTTGGTGGAGAATAATTGCGTTTGTTAGAGAATGGTGGTGATTGTTGGAGAATAGTAGTGTTTAGTGAAGAATGACTGTGTTTGTTAGAGAATGATGGTGTTTGGTGGAGAATGGTGGTGTTTAGTGGGGAATGAGGGTGTTTGGTGAAGAATGACTGTTAGAAAGTGATGATGTTTGGTGAAGAATGACTGTTAGAAAGTGATGGTGTTTGGTGGAGAATGGTATTTGTTAGAGAGTGATGGTGTTTGGTGGACAGTAGTAACGTTTGGTGGAGAATAAAGGTGTATACTGGAGAATGGAGATGTAGAATGATGGCATTTGGTGGAGAATAATGCTGTTTGTTGGAAAGTGACAGTGTTTGTTGGGGAATTATGGTGTTTGTTAGATGATAGCATCTACCTTTTACAGCCTTGATCTTGAAAGATGATAAATTACGGTTATTATTTTTATTAGCAGAATGCAGTGTGGGTGTTTTTTTCATTTCTTAACTCAATGTTCCTGCCTTCACAGATACCCGTGTCTTCTCTGGTGGCATTTGTGGAGGCTCTGGAGGTGGGCTACAGCAAGCACAAGAACCCCTACCATAACCTGATTCATGCTGCTGACGTCACCCAGACCGCACACTATCTGATGCTCCACACTGGCATTATGGTGAGTGACAGCTGAAATCTCACTTTAGACCAGCTGTAGCCCCAGTGATGCTGGCTCGTTCTATCCAGTTCCCTTTTCATCCAGCTGACGCTGTGAATGTTGACCATTTCTATCGTGTCTGATTAAAGATCAGCTATTAGCCATGCTAATGTTGGCCCGCCTCGCCTCATTTTAGACCACCTCTCCTCACTAATGTTGACCTGTCTAACGCTGTGGTATCCCATCCATCTCTTTTTAGACCATGCTGTAGTCTGCCTAATGTTGATAAGCTCTTCTGTTTTGGTGTTAATGCAGCGACATAACTGTGGCTGCTGCCACTGTGAAAATGAGACAGTAAGGCAGTAACTTGGCGACGGTGCTGACAGTCATTTGTCAAGCTTTAGGCACGATATGGAAATGACTCTGTGCTCTGTCACCTCTCAGCACTGGCTCACCGAACTGGAAATATTGGCCATGGTGTTTGCTGCTGCTATCCATGACTTTGAACACACTGGGACGACCAACAACTTCCACATCCAGACCAGGTACGAACTGGCATGAGCTCTCATCTGAGACACAATCCCACGCATCAGCTTTAACACATAAATACAGTTCCTGGCCCACTAGACACCCGTAATGTCATTTCTACCCCTTGCGCTCACAATTTTATCCAGTTAAAAGTTTAAAAAGTTTAAAAAGTGAAGTTTCAGCTAGTTGTAATGACACATATGTGATTGAGCGATGGAGTAAATGAAGAATGTGCACCCATGCTTTCTTGTTATTGACTTCCAGTGCAAACAACTGCATGAGTTTAACAAAGCATGGTGTTTAATCAAATAACTGAGCCTTGCAGCAATGCAAGGAGGCTTCATACGGAGGCCTGTTTCCACCAGAGAAGAACACAATCGCCTGTTTTTTCTCCTTTTCTGTTTCTGTAAGACTTATAATGTTGAAAATTTGACTTTTTATCTCAAAACAACGACTTATTTTCTTGACTTACTATCTCAAAATTTTGACATATGAATTCTGACATACTTTCAAAATGATGAGTTTGTACATTTCAGAAGTAATACTTTGGGATAATGAGTCATCATTTTGAGAGTCCTAAAACAACAACTTAAAAGACATGCTGCTGCCAAAAACAGAGGAGAAAAACAAGTTTTTTTTTTTCTTCATGTACCGTCCATAGCCCACATGTCAAACACAAGGCCCACGGGCCAAGTCAGGCCCATGACACAGTCCTATTCGGCCTGCTAAATTATTTTAATTTTCAATTTTTACTAGCCTGTTTCACCCTGAGATGCACTACAGTCCCCAGCATGCACTGCAACATAGTCTGCGTTCTGACCCCCTTTCCCGAACAACAATCTACAGGCCAGCGGTTAGACAAAAAGAAACGATGCCTGGTGTCTAGTTCAAGCAAATAGGCAGTTTTAAAGAACAATTAATTTTTATTTAGAATTTTTTTCAGTAAGTATTCAGTGGCATAGTTTTGGCGTATTTTTAATAAATATCATCAAATAAAAATGAAATAAAAACACAGCTGGCCCACAGATTTGCTGAGATTTTTTAATATGGCCCGTTAAGTGGGTGAGTTTGACATCCCTGTTCCATAGCAATAATGCTTTTGACTTTCAATGTAAATTAATGTAAAAAGGGTTTATTCCAAGCCGTTTTGGAGCATTTCCATTGGTCGAATCATCACAAATTTTTCACACAATGTAAAGGACAGCCGCTGTGCTTATATTACATACTTCATCAGAACAGATGCAGTACATTCGTGAAAAAACCAAAGAACAAGTAATAACATTCTGTTCATAACATATTAGGCAAATAGTCCAAATCAGATGAACAGCTAGCTAACAAGCATTAGCCTGCATTTAGACACGTCCACAATGTTAAGAAAAGCAAGGCTGGCTTGGCACAGTGAAACTTTCTTGCAGCTGTAGTTGCTTGAAATCTACATGAAATCAAATTGCACTTGAGTTGCATAATGTAAAGCATCCTGCAACTCATTTGAAGCAGTTGCGTCTCAACTTTATGGTACAACTTTCATGAAACAGCTGGTCAAAATGCCAAAACACATCATGTGATCACGTAAAACGACATACTTTCAAACCATTGATTTCACTGGATCAGTGGACAGGAAAGTAGAACAGAAGATGGTTAATTGGACGGTTGAAAAAGCTTTTAATACCAAGGATCAATATTTTGTGATTTAATAGAAAACATTGTGCCTTATCAAGCCAATAGCTGGTGATGAATTGGCTGCTCATTGCTACTTTATTAGGCAGTAAGTGGAGTGAATTAAGCACTTCCCAGAGCACTTTTTATTTGTGTATTATATATCATAATGTTCTGCACAAACATTTAGCTGTCCATTATTATGCCTTTATCAAGCCCAATAGCTGTTATCTAATTTATTAGCCAATAACTGTTAATTAACTGGCTGCCCAGTATTACTTTGTTAAGAATGTACATCAGAGTCTTGCGCACATCCCTCACCTAAGCACCGATACCTCAATATTAAAGCACCAGTTCACTCTAATAAAGACAAACTGAGGGGAGGATTTGTAGTTAAAGGGCCCATATCATTCTATAACCTGTTAGACTGAGAAAATGTTCTTTTGGTGGGGTGGGGGGGGGGTCTATCAGTGTAAGTCTGTCAATAAGAAATATGTTCATTTTTCAAAAATATTGTAGATTTCATGTACCTAATTCCAAATGTCCAGCATACTAGACAATGTAATCCATTGAAATTATTAAAAATTAAAAATGATCCCCAAAATGTACATCATTGTCTAATGTGACCCCTTTTATAGTCTGTTTTACCAATCAAAGTATAATTTTGTTGAAAAAAATCATAGAAACTATTAACAGTTCCTTTTGGTTTCTAGTGGTGTCCAATATTCAGTAATGTTATTTTGTGTTTTTCTGATGGGTTGATATTACAGCGTAAAGGATTCTAATGGTTTAACAGGTGTTCTGTGACTGATTCCAGCTGCAGTTAATGGTTTCTTAATGGGATCTAAAGGTGCCCTGTAGGAAACTACTCGTCTGTAATGATACTCCTTGAGCATATAATTAGGCAATAATTCCTATTGGAAAGCAAAACCAACTTTCCAGATTACTAGACTTCAATTTTGAGATTTGAAATAAAGTAAATAGAAATAAATAGAAATATCTACTATATAAATATGAATATACACCAATCAGGCATAACATTATGACCACCTCCTTGTTTCTACACTCATTGTCCATTTGATCAGCTCCACTTACTATATAGGTGCACTTTGTAGTTCTACAGTTACAGACTGTAGTCCATCTGTTTCTCTGCATACTTTGTTAGCCCCCTTTCACTCTGTTCTTCAGTGGTCAGGACCCCCATGGACCCTCACAGAGCAGGTACTATTTGGGTGGTGGGTCATTCTCAGTGCTGCTGGAGTTTTTAAACACCTCAGTGTCACTGCTGGACTGAGAATAGTCCACCAACCAAAAATATCCAGCCAACAGCGTCCTGTGGGCAGCGTCCTATGACCACTGATGAAGGACTAGAGGATGACCAACACAAACTGTGCAGCAGCAGATGAGCTCTGACTTTACATCTACAAGGTGGACTGACAAGGTAGGAGTGTCTAATAGAGTGGACAGTGAGTGGACACAGTGTTTAAAAACTCCAGCAGCACTACTGTGTCTGATCCACTCATACCAGCACAACACACACTAACACACCACCACCACGTCAGTGTTACTGCAGTGCTGAGAATGATCCACCACCCAAATAGTACCTGCTCTGTGGGGGTCCATGGGGGTCCTGACCACTGAAGAACAGGGTAAAAGGGGGCTAACAAAGTATCAGAGAAACAGATGGACTACAGTCTGTAACTGTAGAACTACAAAGTGCACCTATATAGTAAGTGGAGCTGATAAAATGGACAATGAGTGTAGAAACAAGGAGGTGGTCATAATGTTATGCCTGATCGGTGTAAATATTGATTTACATAAATAGAAATAGAAATATCCACTATAAATACAAATATCTACTGTTGATACTATAAATATCTACTATTTATTTTCAACTTTCAGAAAAGTTTCCACTAAAATAAGTGCAGAATAATTTAGAAACAGTGTTTCATTTGGTCTTGGAGGTGGTGAGCGTCTGTCTCGCCTGCTGCCATGTTTGTTTTTGTCTATGACAAGGTTAAAAAAAAAGAAATCTAATAAATGACCAACCAGGAAAGAATGAGTTCTGCAGGAACACATAAAGTGTGTGTAGTGATGAATCTGCTTCTTTAGAGCTAAAAAAAGTCGAAGGTTCTAGACATATTCTAATAACCATCTCCATCCTCAGTATTAAAGAGTTTAAGTCTTTAAAGACTGTCTGGTCAGTGACGCTGCGCCGGGAGCAGCCGTTATCTCCGGCCGTATGAATCTGCGAGTGCAGCCTGCAGGTGCGTCAGTGTCTCGATTGAATTGAGCTGATATTGCTGCTGTTCTGTGTTGTTTGCTGCCAGACGGGCTTCATCTCACTCAGACTAATAAATGCCAATGGATTCTGAAGACCTGAGCTGATCGAATGCAGAATGGCTGTCTCCTCATGTCAGCATTACACGCAGCGCTGCAGCAGATTACAATGAGACCTTGGCTTTCATGCTCGGGTTTCTGAAAAGCATACAAATGCTTATTTTAAGGTGCTCATTATATCAGTTTTGCGCTGGAAAAAGCGATTCATCACCGTGGGCAGCGGAGCGTGTGAGATGGAGTCTAGCTTTCAGAGGGAAAAAAATACAGGTGTTTACCTTCAACATCTCAGATCGCTCTCAAGTCATTTTACCCGCTGAAACGAACCCTCGTTTTCTCCTGATCTTTATCTCGCTCCCATTTTCCTATTCCTGAAGGGGTCCAGGGCTGTTCTGGAATGTGTAAGGAGTGGAGGAATGTCTCCTCTTTGGTGTCTGAGTACTTGAGGTCAGACTAAAGAGATTTTTTATGGTAACACTTTATTTTAAAGAACATATTTTGGGAGTTTTCAGCTTCTTCGTTCTTCTTTGTATTATTCTACGCTTGTTTTTTGCAGCTTTCGAGCTGGAATCGTGAAAACTTTGCAGGATCGTACAGCCCATACAGGAGGAGTGTGCTTGTTGTTTTGGGACCGACTGCAGCCAGAGTTTTCACACAGTGTTCGTTCAAACACGATTTTTTTCCCTCATTGGAAATGAATGTTGAGAAAGTTCAAAATGTCACAAATGGTGTCACAATGGGGCAATTCTTACACCGCCCCTCATAGCAACACCTTAGCAACAGCCAGGCAACATCTAGTAATCACTTGGGAAACGATAGCATTGGCCAAGCAACATCTTAGCAACCACATGGGATAGCATAGCAATGTCATAGACATTACATGCAGACTTATATATCGCTGCTGTCAGAAGAAAACCTTGTATCTCTATATTTTTCGAATATATACTAGCAAATATATATATATATATATATATATATATATATATATATATATATATATATATATATATATATGCACATATTAGCAACCACCTGGGATACCATAGCAATGGCCTAGAAACACCTTACACTGTACACGTTGTTAGTTTAACCTAAAAAATTGCTTAATGTGGTAACAAGCACTTGAACAAGTTTTATTCAACTAAAAAAATATACTTAATGGAAGTTTCATTCATCCAAAGTATTTATTTAGTTTGAATAAAACTAGTTAATGTACTTTTTACCACATAAAATATTTTTTTGGTTAAACTGACAAAAAAAAAAGTGCAGCAACCACCTGGGATACTATAGCCACCATTTCAATAGCCTAGCAACATCTTAGCAACCACTTGGAATAGCATAGCAAATGCCTAGCAACATCTTAGCAACCACTTGGAATAGCATAGCAAATGCCTAGCAACATCTTAGCAACCACCTGGGATAGCATAGCAATGGCCTAGCAGCATCTTAGCAACCACTTGGTATAGGATAGCAATGGCTTAGTGACACCTTAGCAACCACTTGGGATAGCATAGCAATGGCCTAGCAACACCTTAGCAACCTAATTTAGAGATTTCTAAATGATTGGTTCACTACTCTTTAAACTTTACCAATTATGACATTTATTCCTACGTGATTAGAGGTCTGTTATGTTCAAATCACTAATATATACATTATTATTTGTAATAATGCACAATAAAAACTTTAAGACATTGCAATGCAAATAACTGAGCATGAATTAATCACCTAAATTTACCTCTCATAAGAGCACAACTGGTAATTTTTGATACGTTGTAGGTCGCATCAATGACTTCTAGTGTTCATTGCCTTTAAGTTAGTAAGAGTCACTGATGCCTCTAGATATGTTCTATGTTCTAAAATTAAGCTTTAATGATCACTTATTAGAGGCTAAAAAGCACTAAACGAGTTTTAGTGAGTCGATTTGTGCTCTAGATTCCAAAGTAAAGGTAATTTTATGGATTTTTGGTAGCCAAAAAAAAAAGGTGAAAATATTTCAAGTTAGTTTCAACCTGCTTAAACCAAATGTAGATGCTTTTTATCATGAATAGATTTGGAAATTGTGATGCAAATTGACCTTTTGAAAACATGTTTAGCACTTTTTTAGCTTCTAATTAAACTTGATGCTCTGTAGGAGTTAGTGTTGCCAGTTATATGCTAAAAAGTAACTTATGTGATTAATTCATGCTCAATAACTTAATGCTTAGCTTAATGTATGAAGAATAAACCAAATCCACAATGTTCTTACGATCAAGTCTTAGCTTTTTTACATACACTATTGTTCAAAAGTTTGGAATCACTTGTCATGTTTATAAATTTGTTGTTTTACATACAGTAATACATTTATTTGTACACAATAATGACATAATAATAATAAAAAAATAACAACAACAATAATAATAATAATAATAATAATAATAATAAAGAAGAAGAAGAATTAAATATTACACATTTTAAACCAAAAAGATGTCTCAAGTCTTCAACTTTTCAAGTATTTAATACTGTAATTATCAAATTATCAGTCTCAGGATTTGATCACCATTTTTACAAGACAATCTGGGTATTAATTTTATAATAACTTCATTCTTCATAATAACCTCATTCTGGACATTAATTTTATAATAACAACATTCTGTGTATTAATTTTATAATAACTTCAATCTGAAAAATTATTTTATAATAACTTCATTCTGGGTATTAATTTTATAATAACTTATTTCTGCGTATTACTTTTATAATAACTTCATTCTGTGTATTTATTTAAAATAACTTAATTCTTCATAATAACCTAATTCTGGACATTAATTTTATAATAACTTCATTCTAGGTATTAATTTTAAAATAACCTAATTCTGGGTAATAATTTTATAATAACTCCATTCTGGGTATTAATTTTATAAAAACTTTATTCTGAGTAATAATTTTATAGTAACTTATTTCCATGTATTCATTTTATAATACTTTCATTCTGGTTATTAATTTTACCTCAGTCTGGACATTACTTTTATAATAACTTTATTCTGAATACTAATTTTATAATAACTTCATTCTGTATGTTAGTTTTATAATAACTTCATTGTGGATATCAATTTTATAGTAATTATTCCATATCTCAGAAGAAAATTACAAGGAGTTGGAATAAAAAATGGTACCAGCTGATGAAGTCAAATTTCAATTAAAAATGATTGAGTTGTGGATATATGAGACTTTGTGGAGAGAAGCTGTTGCTGAAGTTATTTATTTTATTTATTTATTTACCAACCCCCCAAAAAAAACCCAGCTTTGATTAATTTAGAGATATGAAACATAAGGCTTATGAAAAATGTATAAATGTTTGATGGATAGGCAGTGACACAAAGTGACACCAAATATTAGCTGTATTTTATTAAACAGTGAAAGGTCTGTGGTCAGTTTCCTTATTGTACTTTTTCCAGTCTTTGGACATAAAGGGGTTCGTTTTATTAAAACTCAGCTTCAGTTTAGTATCATCTACAGCTCTGGTCATCATTCTGGACACGTCTAGCATTTCTACCACAGCCTCCTGCTATTCATTTGAATCCTGGGAGGTTGTAAATTTATACTGAAACCATATCATATAATCTATATGATAATAAACTGAGATATTTAATGGTGTTTTTTCACTAAATCAATATGAACCGCAGTATATAGAGCACATGGTTTGAACTGTCTGGGGAGGATTTTTTGACCATCAAACATTAGTGTTGTAAATGAGCAGGCTGTAGGGGTCAGTCCGAGATGGACAGGTGGAGACCCCCGGGGTGAAACACAGAGCGGATTTGTTTTCTTTTTCTGGATCGAATGTGTTTGTTTACCTGATGGGATTTGACTGTTCACCTATGTGTGGGTGTCGTGTGCTGACAGAGCTGGCGTGTGAGTTTCCTCTTCCTGGCTCAGAGACGATGGCTGTTCTCACTCTATAATAACTGAGTCTCGGTCCAGAGCAGTTCATACTACTGCAAATAAAGTATAACAACAACAGCAGCGATAAATATGTACATTTACCTGGAGATTATTTCATACAGTGAGGTTTCTCAGTTAAGCTCTGAATGTTCTGAGGGTCTGTTTGTGGGCCCACACTTCAGCTCCTCACTCAGAACTACAGAACCTACACATTCGTTTTATAGTAAATACTGAATAATTCACAGTGTTTACT